TAGATGGGAAATGAGGAGGAAAGTAAGCCGGGTCCCACGTAAGATGGCCTCAGACTTCGCTCACATCTGCCTTTTTCTTCCACTAGTCTTTCCATAACGCAATCCTATCATCACCAGTCACCAACACTTTTTTTTATAAAAAAAAGTTGATATTCTGTGTTTCTGTGTTTGTGTGTTTGACTCTAGGTCAACTCAGCGAGCCCTTTAAAGTGAGGGACAGATGTATAAATGTTTCAGATTAGTTATTTAGGGTGGCAAGGCTATGGTTGTGTTACCTGGCACTGCCACTGGCATTTGCAGCTGGGGGCCTGCCTAGGGCTCTGACCTTCATTACTTTCATTTTCTGTTGGATGCATAGTTTGATGTGATATGCCAAATATCTCACAACCCAAAACGGTTCCCATGAATATTGTACGGTGTACGTGCAATATTCTACGACATTATTGACAATCTACTTAATTAGCAACTAATAAGCATTGTTTTTGTTACAATACATTTTTTCTTTTGATATTGATAGGTTGATATTCTAAGCTACCTTAATGAATCGAGAGGAGATCAAATTCAAGTGTAAAAAGACGGGACATAGTGTTTTAATTAATTGACTTAATTTACATACACAAAATTATAATAATTCACTTAAACAGTATAAATTATACCATAGTACATAGTAAGGTAGATCGATGTGGTTTTGCTCCATTCACGTGCGTACGATGTCGGGGGGACCTTGTTGATTTGAACTTTGGTGACTTGAGAAGGATATTTTTAGGAACATGCATATTGAAGAATCTTTGGTTGATTTTGTTAATTGGCTAATAATAATAAGTGACTTATCCATCCTTATATTATATATATATACTATAGTATATATAACATGAAAATGGTCAATTGCATTGCATTCACTCTTTTTAAATGTATAGTTATTTTGGCTTGGCATAATAAAGTTGCACAACTCCATTGCCAATTTGCCATGGGCAGGGTCAGCCTCTATCCACCGAATGCGACATTGCCTCGACATGAATTCCAAAAAAGGGTTCGTACCAAGGTCCTATTTCCAAATTTAAATATCCAAAAAGGTAATGAGCATAAAAAAAAATATCTTCAAAGCTATATGCATTGGTGCCAAATACAAAGTATTTGATTACAACTTTTTATTTTTTGTTGGAGAGCGAATAACAATGAAATGGGAGTCAAACTTTTATCGCGAGTGCAAGATTATATGGTTTTTAGCCAAAATTATAAGCACCCACATGTTCCATGGATAATGATTTGTATGTTTTTGGATCTCAGTATAATTTTGGAAGTGTTATTTACTGAAATGGTCCCCCAATTTTTGTCCCAGTATCATTTTGGTCTACCAATTAAAATTTTCATTTCAATAGTCCTTCACCTCTTTATTTGGTATAAAAACTGTCCCACCGTTAAAAACGGTTAATATTACCATTAAATTGAAGGGTAAAACTCTCCATATAAAATTAAAATATGGACCTTCAAGCCCATTTCCATGGCTGCCATGGGGTCTGCCACTGCCTCCAACCCCCTCTAATTCCTATGACGTCATATGCCCTTATCCAAGCAATTTCCCATAGCTGTCAGATCCAAGCAAAACCGGTCTCTCTGTTTCGGTGTTTTTGACTCGGCTTACAGCTCCGATTGCCCATTTTGAGGCAAGCATGAGGTTCACGACCACGTGGTTGGTTGCAAGCACGACTTTCACCTCACTTATGCGGGAATGCGTGGCTACCAAGCCATGAATTTGGAGGAATGGGAACGTGAGGAGTGTACGAGTAGTGGGGTTAGGAGCAAGCGCTGGCCGCTTGGAGTTTTTTTTAAAAAATTTGGTCAAAAGGCCGCTTGAAGTTAAGTTCAAGTAGATTTTGCAATATTTTACTTTAATTTTTAATTACACTTTTTTTTCCAACAAAAAAATACTTTATTAATATTTTAATTTATATGGATGGTTTTACCCCTCAATTTAACAATAAAATTGACAGACTTTGACGATAGGACCAATTTGATACTAAATGAAGAGTTGAAGGACCATTGAAATGAAAATGTTAGTTTATAAACCAAATTGAGACTAAGCAAAAATTGAGGACTATTACCTATTTTGGGAGGTTGAAATGTTCACAAAACCCAGACCACGAAAATTTTCCATCAAAGTGTACTAGACTGCGTTTTGTTGATCAAACCAAATCAGCAAGCCAAAGGTTGAGAAGGAGTTGTCGATTTTGCACAATTTTGATTTTATTCTCTTGTGGGTCATTGGTCAACACAATTCATTCACCTCATCACATATCACTATTCTTATTCATTTATATTATAACACATAAATTGAAATATTTAATTAAGGATTATTTACTCAAATGGTTATCAAATTTATACCCAATTTACATTTTGGTCCGTAAACTAAATTATTTGTTCAAATGGTCCACCAATTCTTTAGTAATCGGCGCTTTAGTTCTGTTGTTACATTTTCTGTTAAATTTAGCCATGTGAGCAGCACATGCTACAATTGTGCTCTCTCTCTCTCTCTCTCTCTCCCCCCTCCCTCCCTCTGTATTTTCTTCTCCCCAACGATCACCCCAGCCTCATCCATAACCTACTCCTGAAAGAAGAATGGGGAACCTCTCGCTGGTTTTTGGAATTCAACATAAGGAAGTGTTTTCACACCATTGACAAACATTGACTCATCCTAATCTTTAAGGAAGAGATCAACAATTGCGACCCAACCCCCGCTACCTTTTCATGTGCTCTCCCTTTCCATCTGTATTTTCTTCTCCCTAAAGACCATCCCAGTATCAGCCGCAACCCATCCTCGATCCTTACCTGCGACCCAACCCCACGACCACTTCTTGAACACAATCGCCGAAGCCGATTTCTCGACCTCCGCTCCATGATGATGATGTTGTAGAGGAGGAGAATGGGACATGGAGGGAGGGGAAGATAGGGTGGGCTGTGGGGAAGAGAAGATGGGGTGCTGTGGCAATGGGTTTATTGGGCTAGGGGTTTGGGGGTTGGGAGTTGGGAAATAGGTTTTTTTTGGGGGGTTAATTACCCAAAGGTAAACACAAACATCAATTTCTATCACCCATTTATCACCATTGTATTACCTATGTATCACCACTTTATCACCTATTTAGGGAACATATGACGGTTATGGATGGTTTTACCCTTACATTTGATGGCAACATTGACAGAATGTAGAGGTAGGATCAATTGACCGAATAATATATAGTTGAGGACCATTTGAACGAATAATTTAATTGAGAGACCAAAATGTAAATCGAGTATAAGTTTGAGCACCATTTGAGTAATTAACCCTTTAATTAAAAAAAATTAATATCAATATTAAAATAGTGGGATTTTGTGTTGGAATAAGCTTGATGTTCTTGTTAGTTATGTAAATTTGTCAAAGTGATCTAGCCCCGTGAAAAATAGCCTTTACTTGCAGACTTGTAGTATCATGTTCGAACCTTCATGACACATTAGTAATGTGTAAGAAACTTTCATTCTCCTTGTAGTTTAGACTATTGCACTAAAAAAAAAAAAATTTAATTTATGGCCATTTGGCATCACATTTCGGATGCTTGATGTCGAAAATAACATTGCATCTCGCATAGTTGTAAATGACGATCAAGATTTCTAACATTTTTGTTGTGCATTTAAAGTCTTGTTTATATCACCCATCAATAATTTTAAAGAAGGTGGGGCTTTTATTTGCACTGAAGTTGGAGCAAGGGGAATGTAGGAATTATGAAATTCTCTGAATGCAGTACTGAAATTGAAAAATCAAAGAAATTGATTCATTTCTCGCATTGGAATTTGGAATCAATGAATATTGATGTAACTTGGGAAGGGAAATACAATGAGTCAGTCGTTCACAATCTCCACACCCTTTCACCTTAAATGCCATATTGACTCATCACTTGTCTTCTTCATCATTCTAGTCTTTATAAATACAATCTCTTCCATGCACTTTCCACCATCATTTTCTCTGCTACCAATCACTACATAGAAAAAGAATTAACAACTTTGATCAATCAATGGCTTCTTCAACCTCTTCCCTCAGCTTCATCCCCTCCTTTGTGAAACTTGCCAACCCAAGGCTGCTGCCATCCATTCCCCCAGTAAGCCATTCCTACCCTTCAAGCTCCAAAATCCGTCTGATCTCAAACTCCACACTGCCACCTCTCATTTGAACTGCTTTCCATATACCAAAACATCCCCATTGTTCACTTGCAGAATGCAAGCCAACCCATCATCTTCCTCTGAGCAAACAGCACCCACTGAACAAGCTCCACAAGTCCTTCATATCTACGAGATCAATAAACTTAACTGCGCAAGCACGGCTTACTTGAGGTTAAATCAACACACTCAGTGATCTCGTCCCCTTTACTAACAAATTGTACACTGGTGATTTGCAGAAGCGCATTGGAATTACAGCAGGGATATCCACTTTAATCCAAAACAAACCAGAAAAGAACGGTGACCGATATGAGGTTGCTTACAGCTTTTACTTTGGAGACTATGGTCACATATCTGCGCAGGGTGCCTATTTGACTTATGAGGACTCTTATTTGGCTGTGACTGGTGGGTCTGGAATTTTTGAAGGTGTATATGGTCAAGTAAAGTTGCACCAGCTTGTGTATCATCCTTTCAAAATATTGTACACCTTTAATCTAAAGGGTATCAAGGACTTGCCTGAACAGCTTCTTGGGAAACATGTGGAGCCTAGCCCTGATGTTGTGCCCACTGCAGCTGCTAAGGCATGTGAGCCCCATGCCACCATTTCCAATTTCATTGATTAAAACATGTTAAGTTGATGACTGGTTTTTACTAGTTATAGTGATGGTTGATTCTATGTTTTTGTGGTTGGCCTTGAAATTGAAAGATGATAATAAAGCTATTTTCAGTCCTATAATCTTTTCTTTGTTCTCAAATTGTTAAAAATAAGTTACCTAATAATGAACAGTAAACATAATTTGCAGTATAAGGAGTTCATATCAACAGCCAAATCTCCATAATTTTGTTTTCTTTGGAATGCACATCTACATAATTTATGTTTTACAAAAGCTACTATATATTATGCTTGGGGCACCATGTCTGTGTATCCGATCCCTCTACGAGCAGTTGGAAAGATTGTGAAGAAGAAGCTTGATAAAATCCCAGCCCCTAGTGGCAAATTCATTGCTAACTCACTGTAGTTTATTCCCACGCCAGTTAAGAAGCAGCTTTGCACATGGGAGTTGCTAAGAGCAAAGATCAAGAACACAAAGAGCGACATAAAGGCGTGAACAAAATCTAAGAACTTGATCTTATACTTTTCCAAATCCGTGTTAATGTTCTCAAGTTTACTGTAGTTAAAGATGTAGAGGCCTTTGAATGTGGCGATGCCATAATAGAGTTTCCCATCAGTACCATTGTCCTTGAAGCTATCTGTAAATGAAGATAAGAAACAAAGGAGAGCACAAAATATAATGATAGATGCTGTAAGGAACTTATTGGAAAGTTGGCAGGACCCATTGTTGGAGAAAGTAGGAGTGAGGGTCTGAAAGGCGAGGACTGTGCCGGTAGGTAGAAGGTTAGCAAGATTAGCTGCACTGGCTAAGGTCTGGTGGACAGGGTAGTTCGAGCCACCTTTGACCATCGTGGAAGGGGACGATGGTGGACGTGGTTGTTCGGGAGATGGTAATTCAGCCATGGAGAGAAAGAAAAGAGAGTTTGTTTACTGGTTATATTAGTTGGCTTTGCGTTGGAGCTGATACAGGGCACTCCTTTATGTAGGAAATTAGGACACTGGAGTTTAGGTGGCTTACCTCATAATATTAATGAATATAAATCATGTAGGTTGTGCCTTGGGAGAGGGATAGCGTCAGGGACTAAAACAATGGCCTAATTTCCGTGCCATAAGAAACATGAGAACATGGGATTCATGTATTGCATATGTTACCTAATATGCCTAGAGATTCAGGAAAAGTAATTCGTTTGCTAGCTAGTCTCTTATCTTTCAAAAGTTGTGGACCGTCTTAGAGGCTGTAATCTAACTTCGTTGCAACTGAAAAAGCTTTCACAGATGACTCTCTCGCTGTGTATTCATGCAATTCTTTTTACCCTTTCCATCTTAGACATTGATGATTTGTTCAAGTCATGTCTCCTTAGCTTGCGGTAATGAAAAGCTTTTATGTTCCTGTTCTCAGAAACTTTTAAGGACCACACAACCACAAAGGCAAAGCGGTCACAAACCTAAACAATCAACCAACAATAAACTTTAATGTCTTATTGCTAATCTTCGGGAGTTAGAACTACATCATCAAACATTTTGAGATGCTTCTCCTTCGTGCCGTACCAACAGCACTCCTGTTGAGCAACTGAAACTAAAATACACAATTGGTCTAAGGTGCTGATCATCAACAACAGGCTAAATACAAAGAGAAAGAAATTGTGTGATAAGTAACTGTCTGATGGACCAAAGCTACAGGGAAATTTTGAATTGCAAAATTTGGCTGCAATTCAGAACATACTTCATCATGCTGCAAATGACACTTGAAATGGATTGCCAATGTCATGATGCAGGCATACCATTTATCTTTTTTCTGAAAACCGATTCATCGATGTTTGTATTTCTTCTAGTGTTCGCCCCTTTGTCTCTGGTACCAGCTTTGCAACAAATAGAATGGTTACACCAGATACGCATGAAAACATGAAGAAAGTTCCTGGAAGAGGGAAATAAGATGAAATGTGTGAGACTGTCTCTCTCATTCCAGTCCAGACAGAATTAGGAAGAGAAAACTTTGTGGCATTACCTGCTGAGTTCCAATCCATTAGGAAATTAAAAGCATATGAGACAATCCAAGAACCTAACCAGCTAACCAATGTTACTAGGCTACCAGCTGAGCCCTTCATGTTTATGGGAAATATCTGAAATAGAAGTCAACATTTACAGAAGATGCCACATGTATGCAATGACTGAAATTAGCTTCTAATATTTCAGTTAAAATTGTGGAGATCATGCTTGTGAAACATAACCTACCTCTGACATTATAACCCAAGGAATTCCTCCCATGCCCAATGAGAACGATCCTGTAAATACCTGATTATGGGTTTCAAAGAGGTTGAGCAATACTTTAGGTCTATTGGCACATTACAAAAAGAAAATTGGAGAAAAACAACTTTCGAGATTCAAGTCAAGTTGCATTACCAGTACGCCAACAAGCGCCAAGATGGGAGTGACCTGCTTCCATTGTTGAAGGTTCTACACATGGTAGACTTGGTTCTCTCAAGAAACAATTAAAAATTACAATAAAATTGAAAGAGGACTAGATCGTGCTCTAGACGGAACCTGCAACAAGAATGACAACCCCACAAGGAGGCAACCTAAGCATGTTCCTGTTGAAGATACCTGTAAGAATTATCAGACTTCAGTACTAGATTTTCTTTAGTATTATTATCACTACATAGACCAGAATTCTCACTCTTCTTTGTTCTTACCAGAAGAAGTGGACGTCTTCCAGATTTATCCATCAAAATTACACCCAAACCGGTCATTGGAATCTGCGGAAGAGAAATTAGAAATACAATGAGTAGGAAGTAATAAACAGAAGCCAAATTGGAATTACACTGAGACCATCAAGCACCTGAACAGCAACCATAGCTAAAGTCCCGATGCTATCTGAAAATCCTGTCATAAGCCATAGATTCATTTCATTCATCATCTGCTTTCTTTTGGCTCTTGTTAGATAAATGAAAGAAGATCTAAAAAGGCCTTTCACATACCAGCTGAAATGAATATAGTACTTGCATAAAAGGCAATGCCATTAACCCCTCCGAATTGTTGCAGTACCATAAGGCCAACTCCTACCTAACACAATTATAAGTTATGATACAATAATAAAAACAGAAAGGCAGGATGTCACAGAAGGGACTGATTTAAAAGCTCACTATGAGGGAATACACATATCTTCTTTGAAATAAGTCAAGAATGCTTGCTTCTGAAAGCCGCTTCAGAGTTTCTGTATAGTCCTATAAGAGAATACAAACACATATTAGTCCTTTTTTTCATCCTACTCAAAATACTGGTTCTTTCCAGCAGAAGCAGAAGAGTTACTGTGTCATTAATTTACTGTTGTAATTCAAAACTTACCCTAATCTCAGATTTTTCTTGAGAAATATCAGCATTCTTCCCCCTAAGGTTCTGGAGAGCATCTTCACACTTTTTCTCTTGACCAATCTTTGCCTGAAAATGGGCTCACAATCAAGCATGTCAAAAGTTCCTCAAGTTTTCCATATCAAAGGACAAATGTTGACATTATTGGGGAAACCATGTTTATATAATTAACCACATGACTCACCAGCCATCTAGGAGACTCTGGGATGAAGAATAGACCTAAGATCTGTATAACACAAGGAACAGTTCCTGAATTTTGGACAAAAGAAAACACTGTCAATTACTTCGGTTTATATTTCTCCTGGTTTTCTTTTTAAATCCATTGGCAGGTAGATTTTTTTTTTGCGGTATCTCACTGGTATAGAGTCATTTTTAAATCATTGAGGAAGAGCAAGTTACCTATGAGAGCCAAAGCTCGCCAGTTCAAAAAAGCCCCGATAAGATATGTTAGTGACACACCACAACAAATCATAAACTGCAAAATCAGTGAGAAATAGTAAGCAATGAGTGTATATCTAATGGTTTCCAAATTTGTAAATCATGATGCTTATGCTTACCTGATGAACTGTTGTAAATCCTCCTCGCAGATTCTTTGGTGTTATTTCTGCTATGTATATAGGCACCTGCTTGTTATTGAAACATAAAAACTTTTACCTGGAACTTTAATAACAATCTCTTATGAGTTGCATACATTCCTAACAAAAATTACCACATAAGAAAGAAGTCCCATTCCACATCCTACCAACAGTCTTCCAAGCTCAGCCCACCAAGCAACCTTTGAAGAAGAAAACATGAGCTGAAACCAAGAATTCCACTTTTTTGAATATAAAGAGCAACTAAAGAGAGAAACCATGGAAAAACCTTAGAGAAAGCTATGGCTAGCCATCCCAATATGCAGAATATCTCAGAAAAGGCCATTGCCTACCTCCCAAAACAACCCGAATTGAGCAAAATTGAAGAGATCAGTAGTTGGTTTGGAGTTAAAATATTAGAAAATTTATAGAAATAACAAAAGGGTAATGGCAGAAACTTACACCTCTTCTACCTATGTAATCTGCTATTCTCCCACTCACTACTGCTCCTATCATTGCTCCAATTGTCAATATTGAACCAAAAACCGAGTACTGCAAAATGGCTAGTGCCCATAAGTTGAAGTATAAAGAAGACATATACATAACTACATTGATGTATATACATACATACATGTTCCCTTCCTATTTGCTGCCATTATGTAATAGGCTACATAACATGATAAGATGAGCAAACATAAGATAGCAGGGTTTGGGGATACATTATCACCAAACAAGAGAAAGAAACAAAGGGGGCAAATTTTCTAAAAATCCATACAAACCTCAGCCACAGTGAGGCCCAAATCATCCATGACCCCAGACCGAGCTGGTGAGGAATATCCCACCTGCAAAACAATCATACACGTGGCAATGGCTCAGTCCATTAGTAAACCAATCAAAGGGCTAGAAATATTTCAAAGACACACCAACGACCATTTGATCCCAGGCCACTACAACAAATTTTTAGTGTTGAAAACAGGGTCCAAACAGAGCGCGCATATCATCAGATCAGACACAAAACTCAAACTTACCGCAGACCCAAAAACATAGGAACCAGACACAGCAACCAGAGAGCTGAGCACAACCATGGTCGTGGCCGACGATGAGAAAGTTCCACTTTGTTGTTCATTACCAGCACCACTGTTTTCACCTCTACCACCATAGCCATAGACTTGAGATTCAGAATCAATATTTTTGACAAGCAGAGGATTTGATAATTTTCCTTCTTCTATGCTTTCCCTGCCCATATTTTTTGTTTTGGGTACTTCCCTTCAAATCAAAACCAACAAATAATATGGAACTGAGAATTGGGCAGAAATATGCAGAAAACAAGAAAGAGTAAAGAGATGTGGAGATAAAAATATGAACTTGGGGGCTCTGTTGTCGTATTGTTAAGGCCTTGTTCCATGTAATGAAGTAAAAGTTGTCGTTTTCTAGTTTATTATTCTTTGGTTTATCAAAGATCATCACTTAAGACAGTGAACTCCTCCCTGTAAAGGTTTTGTCTTTTTTTCAGGTTCCTATTTGGTCACGTGACCCCTGTCCATGGTCACGTGCAAAAATATTAGGCCACTGAAGGAATAAAAGAAAAGAAAAAGCCATTAAGCCCAATTTGGTTCGCGAAAAAGATTTTTAATTGAAAATAATTTCCCATATCCTAATACTTCAAATTTCAAATTAATTGCTCTGTTTTAGAAGCAAAGCGCGTGCCTTTCTTCTTCACCCTCCCGCGCGCTCTCTCCCCCTCCCGCAATCTCCCAGCACCAAGTTGTGAGTCCAAGCAAACTGCAAGTTTCTCGGTTCGTTTCGTTTATTTTGTTGGTGCGTTTCTCTCTGTCTTGTCTCGCACGTCAAACGTTTGCTCTGCAAAGCAGCCATGAGTTCAGACTCTCCAATCGAACCCACAACGTATGACCTTATTGTGATCGGAACAGGCCTCCCTGAAACAGCCATTGCCGCCGCAGCCATTGCTGCCGAAAAAACCGTCCTCCAAATTGACCCCAACGACTTTAACGGCAGCCACTTTGCCTCTCTTCCCATCCATCAATTCACCTCCTTCCTAAATTCCCATTTTACTGCTAAAAACCCTACTTGCAGCGGCCATGCTCATGATCACCATGATTTTGTGGCCTTAGAGCTCATCCCACGGCTACTATACTCCGACATTGAAACTACCAACTATGCCCTTGAAATCCCTTCTGCGGATAAATTCAACATTGACCTTGGCGGGCCCAGGCTTTTGTTCCATGGTGACAAAGCCACTGACTTTATTATCAAATCTGGTGTCGACCTATATGTGGAAAATGGGATCTTGAAATTCAAAAGCATCGATGGAGTTTGCGTTTTTTATGAGAGCAATGGGAAGTTACATATCTTTCCATATTCAAAAGGAGAAGTATTTGTGGACAAGAGCCTAAAGCTTGTTGAGAAGTCCAAGTTGAGGAGTTTCATCAAGCTTGTTCAGCAGCAAGACGAACAATGGAGCCAAATTTGTAGTGAAAGTTTCAAGATTTCGGAGGAGGATTTGGAGATCCCTTTTGTTGATTTCTTAGATGGAATGCACTTGTCAGCCAAGATTAAGTCGTATGTATACATTGATCACTTCAATTTTTATTATTATTTTTTTCTATTGAGTTTTTTATTTCTTTATTTGCTTTGGATTAGATGTTCTGCTGCTAATTTTTTATATTTGGAAATTGGAATGTGCTGACAAAAATTTGAACTTGCTGTCATTTTTTGCTCTGTAAAATAGGTTTTTTCTGTACATTGCCATGATAGATTATGATGAAGAAAATTTCAGCTTGGAAGTTTGTAAAAGTAATCTGAAGACGAGCTGGGATAGAGTGTTTAGCACTTTACGACAAATCGAGGTTAGTTAGTTAGTTTTCTCCTCTCCGTTTTCTGCTCAGTAATTACAGTTTATCTAATGAATTTTCAGATTTTATGTATTATTGTTGTGGTGATGTTCTTCATTGTGCTTGTTCTTCTTCTCACAAGGTCTGAAAATGGTCCTGGCCCTTGGATTTATCCTAAGTATGGTCATGGGGATTTATTAGCTTTCTTTGGCCGTCGTGCGGCTGTTAAAGGTTGCATTTGTGTAAGTTCAAGTAGAAGTATCTGTTTCTTGTTTTTCAAGGAAAAACATCCTACATCATTGCTGGCCTGTACATACTTCTTTGCACACGTGTACCCTTTATTGTTTACTTATTTATTTTGGGCCAATTTTGTTTGGTTTTGCTTACCACTTTCTCTTAGTTCTTTTGAAAATTCTATCATGCAGGCTATGCGAAGGCCAGTGACTGCTGTGCTTATGGACAAGGTATAAGAGTGAATATACTTATCGATAAACTAACATATGGTTCCTGAAAGTTGCAAACTAATTTTCATATGTAAATTGGCTTGAGAATTTTGCAGGATAGTGGGAAATATAAGGGTGTTAGATTAGCTTCAGGTCAGGATTTGTTTAGTCATCATCTAGTTTTGAATCCAGCCTTCACCGTCCCCTTGGCACCAGCTCCATCTCCACCAGACTGTCTGAGAGAAGGCCTTCAAGGTTTAAGTCTTAAAGATACTAAAGGAAAGGTGGCAAGGGGAATATGCATCACAGCCAGTTCTGTGAAGCCAAAAACATCAAACTGTTTGCTTGTATATCCTCCTAGAAGTAAGACTTAATTTAGGGTATGCTACTGTACTTTGTTGAGAAAATAATAATAATAAAAAGTAATCATTTCCTTTGCTTTCTTTTCCTCCCTAGCTTTGTACCCTGAACAGGTTACCTTAATCCGGGTTATCCAAATAGCTGGCGGTTCGGGAATGGATGCTTGTCCAAAGGGCATGTCTGTTTATGGCACATTCCGGGTTATCCAGACAGAAGGTGGCAGTTTGGAAGCAGATGTTTGTCCAAAGGGCATGTATGTTTATGTTAAATATAAAAAAATTATGCTCAAGAAATAAGCTCCCTCACTCTCTTGAAGAAGCTATTAAATTTTGACCTTGTTTACCTTGGTGTGTCTTCAGGTTTGTGTTGTATTTTTCTGCTTTATGTGATCATGCGGAACAAGGGAAAAGGTTGCTACATGCGGCCATGAATTCTCTTCTCACACTTCCTGGTCCTGGAAATCCTGAAAATGGTTCCACAGTTGAAAGTGAAGATGCACAAGTGAAAGTGAAACCCAACTTACTTTGGAGCACATTGTATATTCAGGAGCTGTATATGGTGTGCCACTCATGTTGGCTTTAATTTTTTTTGCACTCTACTTTGTTTCTCAATAATTTTCTCGCATTGATTTACATGCAATTTTTGACTGCTTTTTAACTCATCCCTCCCTTTTGATGTCCATCTATGATGATTTTTGTTTTTGTTCTCTGGTTTACATTGATTTCAGGAGCAACATGAACATCTCATTTCAACTCCCATGCCAGATGGAAATCTCAGCTACGATGGTCTGTTAGATGCAGCTGTGGTGGTATGATCATCTTTTAATTGGCATCATATTTTGTTTATAATGCTTCATTTCTTGTTACTATACATGGCTCGATATTCCCCCTTATGAAATTTGGTGTTAATGCTTGAACTTGACAGCTTTTCCAGAAGATGTATCCAAATGAAGAATTCTTTCCGGAGACAACCTCGCCTGGGAATTTGGAGGATGATACTCCAATTAATGTAGAGGACTAAGAGTTTGTTTGTTGTACTCAAATAAGTGTGTACAGGTGATGCTCGTATTTCTTCCATTGTTCACCCTTTATATGGTGAGATAGAAAGAGGTTGGTACCAAATTTTTTCAAGACAAGTTTCAGAGCCTCTATGAGAAAATCTTTAAACTTTCAATCTTTCATTACCTGTGCAGAAAACCATTTGCAAACTTTTTTAGAAAAGGAAAGTCATCATTTTACAACTTTTGAAGGCCACACATTTCATCCATTCCAAGTCAGACAGGTGTAACTAATGTAGTGTAGCTACAACATAATCCATCAAGATGCATTTTTTACTTGCTTAGCCAAAAAACGAGATGCATTTTTCACTGTAGTAAATTGTTTACCCTCTTTAGCTAACTGCTTCACCTATATAAATATGTGTTGTGGGGTTTCAAAGCAAGTAGTTCAGTGCAAACAGTAAACACTAATCATTCCTGGTCCAGCTTGTAAGAAGTTTCAAGAATGCTTCTCCCATTGACCCATCAGCAACATCAACTCTAATTTCAGGCGCACTTTACATGACATATGACATGTTGATGAAGATGTTACTGCAATCAAATTGTAAACCGAACAGATTTATATAAATATATTGATTACTAAAAAAAGCTCTGAATTAATTCTCTAGCAAAACACAACTTCTATGATCCTGCTACATTAATCTACCAACTCAACTTCTTCTCCCATATATTCGTGCATCGTTTGCCTACATTAGTAGTAGTACAAGATGTTCGTAATTTTTTAGTTTATTTTCAGAAGTATGATACTTTAACTTTCATCCTGGGCCTAAGTCGACAGATTTTAAAGTAGGATGAAAAAGATAAAAACACAGTTTCTTTTTAGAATTATGGGGGAGATTTGACAATCCATTACAGACTCGAACATGGTGTAATGTAACTAATGTTGGTACAAATGCATTTCTGCTTACTTACCAAAAGATGAAAGATGCTTTCTTTTCCTTCTTTTTTGCGCAAGAGTTTGTAGCTAAAGTGGTTAAGAGTTTTACCTCACCCGAGATTCCAGTTTTGATTCCCCCTCCCTCAATATCAATTGTATCAAAAAGTTTAATTTTTTAAATGACAATTGAAGGGGATAAAACTTTTGATCTAACACATGTCGCCACTTACCTTCACCCCTTTAGCAATCAATACAACACAATCCAATAAGATGTGTTTTTCGCTTACTTACCAGAAGAGAAAACATGTATTCTTCTCTATATTAAACTTCTTATTATTACAATAGAAGGGAATCAAACTTTTGATCTACAACATGTCCCCACTTAACTTCACCAATTGGTTTGACCCCGAGGTTTAGATTTCTGACCCTTTTAGCTAATTCCCTTTGCAATCCATACAACACAATCCAACAAGATGCATTTTTCACTTACTTACCAAAAGAGAAAACATGATTTTTATTCTCAATATTAAATTCCTTGTTGTTACAATGGAAAGGAATCAAACTTTTGATCTAACACATTTCCCCACTTACCTTCACCACTTGGTTTGACCTCGAGGTTTAGATTTATGACCCTTTTAGCTAATTCCTTTAGCAATCAATACAACACAATCCAACAAGATGCATTTTTAGCTTCCTTACCAAAAGAGAAAACATGAATTTTTCTCTATATTAAATTTCTTGTTGTTACAATG